CTGATCAGCTTTTTTCCGAGCTGAAGTATGAAACCTGGGGTAAAAATTTCACGCAAAAAAGTGATTGAAATCCAAATTGCACGGTATCCAGGGTTTCCTGTTAATGGATAGATGGGCATGACTAGCGATCCCTACAAGGTTCCATACTTAAACCTGAACAGCACAATGACAAGATTTTGGTTTTCAGTCTGTAATGTCAAAACTTCACCTACACCATTTGAGGTGTTTAGTAGTTCTAAGCAAATGAGCAACTCTGTGATGTACTGGCCAACCCTTCTCCCCCCTTGTTGCCTGTTTAGTCTGTTCGCATCTGAATAGGTCATAACATGGGATCCATATTTTGTTGTCAAAATGATCCTTTGTATAGGTCTCTGTGAAAGCTGCAAACATTGCATTTGACTCCATGAGCAATCCCTTGATGCAAGGAATTTTGTTGTTTGTTGATGGCTTTAGACCCTGTATGTTTGCAAAGTATAATGTTATATTGATGGAATTTAAGGGGGTTTTATTTGCTGGCTTTAATATCTGCTGTTCTGGAGTGGAGGCCAATGACTGTGCCTCTGCTCCAGAAGTGTTTTCAGTTGGTGCAGGATTTCTGTCATTTCTTGCCAGTTTTTTTCCTTCCTGGCACTAAAAAAAATTCCTTCTCTGGAGAGGTTATGGCTCCCCTCTTTTGTTTCCCATAGTCTGGCTGGTCTGTGCCTTTTTGTCGCCTTTAGATGATGTGCCTGGCAGTAACCGTTGTAGCATTTTCTTTAATAGACTGATGACACATTTCAGGGTGAAATAACTTACATGAAGGGAAGTTGCACCCTCCTGTTATCATGTGGGTGTGGCATTTTTTGGAATGGTCAAAGGTGCATGTCCCACCTGTTTTTTCCAGATATACCATGCCTGCAGATACCCAAGGCACAGAATTTGCATAGATTGGAATTTTGTTTGCTAGGATTTGTTGTGGTTGTGTTCCCTGCTGGTGCATTTTTTTGCTTCCCACTACCTACCGCCCCTCTATGGACATCAGTGCTTCTACCAGTTTTTACTGGTAATGTGTCAACACTATTCCCTGAGGCATCATAACCTTTTGTTCCATTTCCAGCAGTATCGCTACTTTGTACCTCTGTAAATTGAATAACGTCATTTTCTGTTTCATCGCCAGGGCTACTATCTCCATTTGGTATGTTGCCCTCCAGGACAACACTAGCACCCTCTGGAGCACTGTCTTCCAAGACAGCACCACCCAACCCACCATTTTATTTTCCCAGCTGTCACACCAAGCTGACATGTCTTGCAAGAAGGATATTTTATTGGTGTTCTATCTTTTAATACAGATGTAATTTTCTCATACAGGTGTATCTCGTTTGGGCGACCCAAAAACATTTCTCTGATTTTATATCAAAAGTGGTTTCTGGTTTAAAGTTCCTGCACAACCCATGGGACCATTTACCACAGAGATTGCATGCAATCCAGGCACGACTTCATCTGTTACCCTTTCTGCAGACTACACAGATTTTCATGGGGGGTGGTCATTTATAACACTTTGCAACTCTCCTAACTTGCTAGACTATAACTACTAAAGTATTTAGTTTTTAGTGTTTAACAGTTCTTTAACAGTTGTTTTGGGTAGGCTGACTAGGATAGGCTTATTATGTAAGATTTTTTTTAAATATATTGGTATATATACAGTAAGGCCCCGCTTTAGGGCATTCCGCTAATACGGCGATGTCAATTATGCCCAAAAATTTGCTATACGGCAAGCGGTCTTTCAAATACGGCGCCCCCCACCCGGTTTGTTTACATTTTCCGTGACCACATCTATTATGTCAAAAAATTTCCAAAAATTTCAAGTTGTTTTAAAGTTACTCCCTATTTTATATGTACTCTGATAATTATACTTAAGTGTACCTGTACCTAAATATACTTACAAAACTGTGCTGGTGTGCAGGTACAAAATTAAATCGCTAAGTCTCTCTCTACTCATGACGCCAATACTACTTAATAATAATCGCTCTTGGGCACACTAAATGTCTTATTTTACATCAATATAGGCATTTTCATTAATCCATCTATGATATTTTCCTCAAAATTATTATGAAACCCATTACACGATATAAACATGTACATACACTTACAGAATAAAAAATTGATGTAAATATGAGATTCGTTTACCAAGCAGCGGTGTAGGTAGTGTCGGAAGAATTTTCGTTTTCTCTAGTCAAAAAACTGGGGGGGGTAACTGTAGAAAAAATATTCTTTTTGTATGCCTTTACTCTATATACTATAGCAATTTTACGACCCTTTTTGGGTTTAGTGCTTTATAATAATAATAATAAATAAAAATATTAAATTTTTATTATTATTATTATCTTCATTCACTCTAAAAATGGTGTGCTGCTGTTTGTTTATTCTGAACTAACTTGTACAACCCTTTTACACAATGTAAGAGTATTTTTATGTGAGGTAATTATTATTAAAATAAAAAAAAATTGAGGTAAATGTTTTACAAACTCTTACAAATGGACGTGAATGAACTAAAAGTAGACACATTAATAGCATTTATTTTGCCTGACCAAGTGATCGTCCACCTTTTTTCAGTTCGTGTTTTTACACTGTCTCAACTCTGTATCTCGTTCCCTCTCTCTCGTTTACTCTTTTGTTAACTAGTTGGCTCTCATTGACGATGGCTCTAAGGTTAGTGTAATAAAAAGAGTAGTCGTAAGCCTGTTGCTTTAAGTGCCAAGTTAGAGGATGATGGTGTGCCATTCTGATTTTATTCAAAAAAACCCCCTGCCACTCACCTCTCACACATTAATATTAATATTTTAAGGTAAGTAATAAGTGTACTCGTGTGTATCATACCTTTACTGTGTTTTTAATGCCTATTTATATTTTTGACTTAATTAAGTTAGTGAAAAACTTGTTGTCTGGCATTTATTGCATATTTTATGTGCGCTCTGTTTAATAATACTTGTGGAGTTGTGTGGAAAAGGCCGGTGGAGGGACAACATTACGTTTTCTCTACTCAGCCATCAGAGAAAACGTGTATGAATCTGCGTTTGGCCCAGCCACTCCCTCACTCCGCTTTTGTTTACAATTTTCGGCATGAATTATTCAATTACTTCTCCCTTCGTTTATAAAGGGCATCTAAAGGTAGTTGTTAGAAATGATTAAATTCAGGAACAGGGCATGTCGAGGGTTAAAAATATGGCTCGGGGCCACAGTGTAGGTAGCCGGTAGGTGTACGCATTACACCTACCGGCTACCTACCCCTGACTTTCTACAAATAAATACTACTCACCTCTCTTCCTATATTAAGACTACCCCAATTTTAAGGTAAATAAGGGAGTGTACTGTATGTGTATTTTACCTCTCTGGGATGTTTTAAATATCGTATTTAAGTATGAGACGGGGAGCAGGGCTCCCTACACCTGGGCTACCTGCACCTGACTTCCTACAAAAAAGTACTACTCACCTCTCTCCCTACATTAAGGATTACAAACTTTAAGATAAGTAATGAATTTATTGTGAATGTATTTTACTTTGTGTGTTTTTAATGCCTAGTTCTATTACCATTTAAATATAATTTAGTGTAAACTTGTTGTCTGGCATTTAAAATGCATTTATAAATGGAAAAAAATGGCGTCCTGCCTTCCGGCGATGTCTGCTTTCCGGCGACAGCCCGGAACCTAACCCGCCGTATAAGTGGGGCCCTACTGTACTATAGTTTGATATATATGAATTTCAGGTATTTTAGTTTCAATCCCATACAACAATCTTTATATAAACAGTATCAAAGTGTTGGAATGTACAAAAATAACACTAATTATACAGAACATAATAAAATATCAAACCTCAGTGATTTTGGCACCATCTGGTGCATGCTTGCTGAAAATTGCATGTAGTTGTTTGTCACCAATTCTGTCTGGCAAATTATTGATGCAAAGACGAATTTTAGAGACAAAGATGTGCAAATTTTGCAACATTCGCCGTTTAACCTGTTCCCTCCTGGTGCGTAGAGCAAGATCAGTATTTGACACACCAAGTGCTGCTCGAGTTCCCTGACGAACAACTGGAAAAAAAAAAAATGCCAAAAATCTAAGCTATGAGTCAACAACAGACAATATTTCATGCACTTCTAAAACTAAAGAGAAATGAAACTGAATAAAGTCTGAAAATCAAAATATAGGTGCAAAGACTTACTGTAGTTGATTCGAATTTACTATAACAAAAACTGCAAACTATTGTGGAACCTCGGTTGTCGTATGTCCTGGTTTTCGTAGGATTCGGTTTTCGAATTTTGTCCCAGTTTTCGTACATCCGCTCGATTTTTGTAGAGTTGACAATGGTCCGCCGTAACAAATGCATCCGCCTGCCCGCGCCCACACAAAGCATCCCACGCATTCTGACTCAGTCTGGCTTTGTTTCTCGTTGAGTGAGCATTACCCTGAGCATTCATCCAAAACATTTCGTAATAATCCATTGTTTTCTGTGCTTGTTTTTTGAGTGTAACTGCTAAATAAACACCATTTGGGGCCAAAGAAAGTTCCGAGTGGGCCCGCCCTTTGATAAAGGTGAGAAACACGATAGAATTCCAAGAAAGAAGTTGTAGCCAAAGTATGAAAGTGGCATAGCAGCGAACTTGCCAGTAAAAAGACAAAGAAGGGAAAATAACCCTGATAGGGCCTTGATACCTGAAGTCCTTTGGAGAGGGATTCCCCTTCCAAACAATAACCCCTCCTCCTCCCTTTTCCCTCCTTGCCGTCTTCCATATGCCAACAAAAGTCTTCAATAAAGGTAACAGGATGCTAATGTTCATTTATCCATTTCATTAGTCATTTATATTTATTTTTTCTTGTTTTCTGTATTAAAACTATAGTTATTCTCTATAAATGCCCAATTTTTGTTAATATTTTTGGGTTTTCTGGAACGGATTAATTGGATTTACATTATTTCTATGGGAATATTGCTTCAGTTTTTGTAAAATCAGTTTTCGTCAGACTTTCTGGAAGAATTAATCACAAAAACGGAGGTTCCACTGTATATTGTAACTGGACTCAACTACGACTATTATTCAGGGGAGAAGTACTAAACCAATAGGGGGTTATAAAGTGCCCGGGAAGCAATGAAATTCAATCCAAGGAAGGTTAGGATAGATTCAGTTCCTTGGATCAAGAAACTCTTCACCCCGGATTAAGGCACCTCTTGAAGGAATTATAAAATGTACAGAATATTTTACCATTTAGTTAGTGAGCAATACAGGTCAGAGAATATATACCAAGAGGTGTGCTTTACATCTTAAGTGTACATTAAGCTGAGAGATTATTTTAATCACCTTTAGAAATTTAAGTGTCCTGGGCTAGTGTTGTACAGGTGACATGGATCCTTTAATGCCTTAGTCTAACTGACAGGCTTTTTTTAAACCAAATAAAACCCACCATTCTACTTTAGTGAAGCACAAGGACCAACCAACTCACTAATAATGACCTCACACAAAAGTCATGACTGATGAAACCTTGTATTCCAGATGCACACCATTTAATATACTGAAGTTAAGCAAATAAACTCTGATTTTCCTGTATTTCATTGAACCTATGTACAAGATATTATCTGTAAACATTAAAGGAAGTGTTTTCTTACATCCTTCACGAGCCAAGTAAAGATTTCTTTTATCTTTCGTTATTTTTTCTAGATCCTTCTCACTTTTCTTCCTCTCTAGCTCCATTCTGCTAATAGCTCTCATGATGTGGCATGGGCCGACCATAAAGAATAAATTCATTCTTTGCAGCAGGGTTTGTTGCTGCTGCTAAGCACGCATCAGCTGCTTCACGTTCCTGTAAAATTTAGTTAATCAGTATTCTGAAGATACATTGCAAAGGTTGGCGAGTAAATTTGGGAGGGTACATAAAAGATGGAGATTAAAACTGAATGTAGAAAAGAGCAAGGTGATGAGAGTAATAAAAAAAAAAAAAAAAAAAAAAAAAGTCCAGGTAATGACTGACTATCAGACTGAAGAGAGGGAATATTGGAACAACTGGATGTGTTTAGATATTAAAGAATGAACATCTCGGCAGAGGATCTATGAAAGACAAGGTGAACCAGAGAATGGATGAAGGGGGGGAAAAGTTTGGTGGTGTGTTAAGGCATCTGTGGAAAAATTATGTTTATCTATGGAGGCAAAAAAAAAAAAAAAGCGAATGTACCAGAGTATAGTTGTACCAACACTTTTACATGGAGTGAGGCATGGGTTTTGAACACTGCAGCGAGGAGGGGGCTGGAGGTAGCAGAGATGTCATGTTTAGAAAATTGTGAGATGTGAATATTATGCAGAGAATTTGGAGAGAAACTAATAGGCAAATATGGGGTCACCAAAGATATAATTCAGAGGGCTAAGGAGGAGGTTATTAAGGTGGTTTGGCCATATAAAGAGAATAGAGAGGTATATATTGACAAGGAGGGTGTATATATATTTGAGATAGAATGTAGGAGAATTGGGATCACCCCAGGAATGGTTGAAGAGAAGGGGGTAAAATAGGCTTTGAATTTTTAAGGGGTTGAGCATACAACAGGCTTGTGTGAGCATGTTAGATAGGAGTGAATAGAGATGGGTTTTTAATGGACATGCTATTTGCAGGGAATCTGATTAACTGAACTTGAATCCTGGAGGTGGGAAGGAAGGGGTGAGGATGTTGAAATCAGATGACAATCTGAATGTGATATCAGCACACTTCTAGAAAAACAGTGTGTGAATGAATGATAGTAAATGTGTTTTCATGTATGGTATATTTTTTAACTTAACTGTTGTCAAATGCCAAGGGCAGAGTGACCCCAAACAATAAAACACATTCACTATCATTAACTCAATCACTGTCTTGCCAGAGGTATTTTGACAACATAATTCAGACTACCCCCCAACTACAACATTCCTATCCCTCCTTCAGAGTGCAGGTACTAGCCTTCCCACCTCCAGACTCAAGTTCAGCTAAATGGTTTCCCTCTGAATCCCCTCAAAAATAAAAAAGTTATCACCCTCACACTCAGTCACACTAGTTTCACAACCATTTATCTGAGTTGGGTAATGACACCTTTATGTAACCACTTTATTTCCAACATTTTCTACAATACAAATATACTGCACAGTACTCTCAACTTCACTTATACAAATTCCCCACTTGCAAACACCAACAACAAAAAAATGGCTGTGACTATAGTAATAGTCCTACTAGAAATTAAACTATAATTCTATATTTTAAAAAATAAAGTAAATGATCTATCAATAGTGCAGCTATTAACCAGAAGTCATGACTGGACACCACTGTAATAGCAGCCAGATAAATAGACAGACACATCTGCAAGCTAGCAAATAAACAGCTCACCGTCTAAAATAAAGCTGGCTAATCATCCCCATCATCTCTGTTCCAGCCAGTTTATTATGGTTTTGTGTGTGCTTCCAAGTGAATATTTTATGGCTTGGCTCAAATTTATGTATCTATACTAAAAACATGTCTAGAAGCAGCACAAGTAAGTCTAGTGCTATAAGAGAGAAAGAGAGAGAGAGAAAGCTCACAAGTCTTTCAAAACTAAGTAGATGCTAGCATATGACCTCCGCAACCGTGGCAATCACGAGAGAATACAAATAAATTGTCTTGGCTATGACATTTTTTTTGTTCAGAACACTCCAACAACTGGAGGCAATATGTCCCTTTTTGCCACAATTGTAGCATGTTTTACCACTATTATTACTCTATGTGCTATTAGCGCTGAACGGTTACTTGCTGCACTAGCCCTGGAAGAGGGACAGGAAGGAATGTTATTCCCATCTTGAGGAGTGATAAGATACGCGGAACCTCGGTACTCAAACAGCTCCGTACTCGAACAATTCAGTGTTCGAATGCTTAGTTTGGTAAACAAATTGCTTGGTAGTCGACCATTTGCTCGGGACTCGACCAACAAACACAACCTGCCAGAACTTCGCTGTAAACTATTTCATGTTTCTTCACATTTTTTGGTGTTTTTTTATATTATTTGTATAAATAAGTCACCATGGGGCCTAAGATAACAGACAACCAAAAAGAAAATTGTTTGGGAAAAATTAATTCGGTACTCAAACAAATCTGCATTCGAACAGCCTTCTGGAACCAATTAAGTTCGAGTGCCGAGGTTCCACTGTAGTTGTAGCAAGCACAAAAATTAATGAGAACCTTAGCAACACCAGGTGAGGCAGATCAAGAAAGACTATTCTTTGCTAATCTAATGAAATTGGTTTCTGAAGTTTGACCTCCACCAGCATTCTGAAAAACAGTGAACTAAGTCTCTACGTTGCTAAGGTTACTTTCACAAGTAGGAACAGTATCTAAGGGATCACATTGGTAAGGAACCCTTAATATCTTGGTGTGTCATGTTTGCATCATTAGTTATGTCACCCATGTGATCAAGTGCTCCAACATCAACAATGCCAGAAACAGAAAGCGAGTCGAACATGGTTACAGCCAAAGTCACATTTTTTTTAAACTGATGGACAAATTAATTTTTGGCTGAGATACACTGATTATAGTATGAAAATATTTAAAGTGACATGTTTTGCTGATATATCTTTGAGAGTTTTGAGAGTTTATCTACTCCCAGAACCTGGCCTTGGACCAGTTAAAAAAATTATAAAATCTAGTCTCATGAATTCTTGACTTCTCTAACTGGATGAACCTGTACATAGATAAGGCTCTGTTCCATATACAGTACAGTATTTATGCCACCCAAATGACTGAGTGCCCACTGTACTAAATAAAAATACTGTATAATCACTGAAAGATACCTTACCTTGAATTGAGCAAATGCTGTTCCACGTGGATGTTCAGTGAGTTGGTCTATACAAAGGAGTACATACTTCAACTCTCAAATTTTCGCAAGACTTCTGCAATATCTTCGTCAGTGGCAGCGAAATGGGAGATTTTTCAAGAATAATGTCCTCTCTTCTGTGATATCCTTACTTGGGCTTGTGCAGCAGGAAATTTTGCCTTAACTGGCATAGGTTCTTCCTCATCATCATCATCATCCTCACTCTTACTACTGTATGATTCATCACCATCATCTAATTCACTGTCACTAAGTTCATTGCTACTTTCTTTTTCCTCTTTTATCTCTGTCTTTATATCATCATCTTCCTCATCACTATCTTCTTTTTCATCATAACTTAATACCTCTTCCTTGACCTTTATTTCTTTAACTTTATCTACATCCATGGAAATTTCAGTACTAGTTTATATGGCATAAATTTTTCTTTTTTACAGCTAAATCCACACAATTAGCCTTCCTGAAAGTAAAAATAAAAAATAAGCAAAACAGTAAGGAGAATTCTATTAGAAGGCATTTCTGTTGTACTGTAATATAACATTTTATTGTAAAGGCACAGTATTTGAAGAATATCCTGGTAACGTCAATATACAGTGGTACCTCGGGATACGAATTTATTTAATTCCAGAAGGCTGTTTGAGTGCCAATACTGAACAAATTTGTTCCCATAAGGAATAATGTAAATTAGATTAATCTGTTTTCATATCCCGAGGTACCACTGTATATTAGGATAATATAAAAGTATCACATGAAATGAAAGAAGAAGAATGTAAAATTATTTAGACAGCAAAGTGCTGAGCAGAAGACCTGGAATTAATCTTGAATTGTTCAGAAAAATAAAGAACAGTGGAAGCAGTGTAGCAGAGTGAAAGTCATTACATGAACAAACCATAATATTGTAAGTAGTATTGTAAAAGTGAAAGAGGAAAATAATTAATATTGAATACAATGCCTAAAACTCTAATGGAGGGGTGAGGAGGATGCAGTTCGGAAGATCATATGAACTGTGATGTGAACACACTTCCGGCAAGACAACAACTGAGTGAATAACAGTGACTGTGTTTCCTCTTTTGTGGGTCAATCCCACCACCTCAGTGGGAGTCAGCAGGTGTATTAAAAAAAAATCTTATTTTTAAAGCTAGTTATCTATGAGATAAGTGAATGCAATATGCTTTTAGAAAGGAAAACAAAATATATTGAAAGGAAAATGCTTAAGTGAAAACAAATGACACATCATTAAAAGACAGTACTTAGTGAAGTCAACCAGCTGTATAGTATAATCACTTTTTACTTGGAAGAATAAGACTTTAATTAGTGTTTATTGATGGGGTTCTTTCGATGCAACCCACAACAGCCAACTAACTCAGAAGTACCTCTATTGTTAGGCAAACAGTAAGTAAGTTTATTCAGGTATACACAAATACAGTTACATAGATTATCATACATAGCAGTGTTGCGGCCCCTGCCAAACTAGCGGTTAAATAGTTAACCTGCCGGCCGGCAGTACCACTGGGTACGTCATCAAACCCAATGTGGGGACTGCTGAGCCGGCCTTAGAGCAGTAAGTTCCTGAGTGCCTCACGGTGCACATCTAAGCAGTAGGTACCTGACCACCTAAGGGTACAGTCTACTGGCTTTAGTAACAGTATGTACCTGAGCGCCTCAGGATACGCATCTACGCAGTAGGTACCTGACCACCGAATCGTACCTATCTACTGGCGTTAGAAGAACCGCTCACCGCAGCTCACTGAGTCTGTTGGCCTCAGTTACTTGACGGCCGCATTCAGTGAGCTTGCCCGCATGGTGTTCGGCTAGCGGTGTGTCAACCGCCTTTGGAGAGGATTTCTGGACTACCGGGGATGTCCGTGGGCTCACCGTCTACCCCTGATCAACTGTGGGCCGGAATCATCAGATGCTGTTTGGTGGGACATTACATGAAGAAAAGGTTGGAGGGGTTTTCACTGAACTGGGCCAGGACCCTGTGTGACCCCTTAGGAACGTTTTGATGGGTGGAACACTGAGAATGCACAGGACCGTAGTGGAAAACTGAGATGAAAAAAGGGGGTCGTGGGACACTGAAGATGGCCTGGTTGTAGTGTACACTGAATAGTGTCATGTGACTGGTCTCGTGTCGTGAGAAGCAGTTGATTGTAAAATTTTTTATTATACAAATGTTATTTTTAAAATTATTATTTTGATAGAGATAATATATATATATAGTGACACAATAGTGTCAAGAGTTGTTACCCTGTGTAGGGTTATTAATTATTTATTATTTTAGTAAAATGCTGATTATAATTTATTATAGTAACATGTACATATTATTATTATATCATAGTTCAAATACCTCTAGACCAAAGATAGTTGATTTTTATATATTAAATATTAATTTATTAATGTGTGTATTTATGTATCCCGAACTCTTTATTACAAAAGGAGTAAATCTTACCACCATCTTTTAATAAAATTACTTTTTTGTAATAAGCAGCATATGTGTAGAGAACCTAGGATAACCCAAAAAAGTCAGAGTGACTTATTTCCATTGGGGTCCTTTTACAGAAGGTGTTAGGAAATTTACCATGGGATTGAACTCAAGTCCATTCAGTTGTGAGCTGAATGATCTATCACTGAGCTACATAGTACCTAGCATTTCCCTGTTCCTTACACTATTTTCTCCTACATACAGTTCTTGAAGACCTTATTTCAAATTAAACTATGTATACTGCAAAAGATATGCTGCAATACCAAAAATATCCTCCACTTACCTAACAAGGGTTTCATATTGCACTCTGTAATAGCTTTCAGTGCTTCTGCTTTTTCATTAAACTGAACAAAGGCACATCCCACCATCTTTCCATCTTTTTTGCGTAGAATTGACACTTCTCTAATTTTTCCATACTTTGAAAAATGCTCTTCAACTAATTTCTCGTCAGCCTGAAAATTTGAAAAGATTAAACTGCTTTAATAATTAATAATAATGATAACTAGGGATTTTATAATTCTTAAGCACCTGTTCTTTCAAAAAGTTCACAAGCACTCGCTCTCAAACCATAAATACAACAAGTACAATAAAAAATTATAAAGTTTTACTCATGATGACAATATGATCATCAGGATTGTAAGCTCTAGAAAAGAGGTGTGCTGAGACCTGAAAGCATAAACAGATTCCCGAGTTTAACAACACTGGTAACCTGTTATACAGTCCAGGAGCTGCATAAGAAAAGGCTCTTTCTGAAAATGATTTCTTCCCAACTGCATGAGGCTCAATCATCCAAGTCCAAAACTAAAGCAAATTTTAATACCATGTGACATCTTATTGAAAATTTTGAATATTGCACTTGAGTGTAGGTGAGATACACTTGAAGGGGGTTTACTATCTTCATAAACGTTATTTACAATTTGTTTTTATGAACAATGTAAAATTTGGTATCAGGGCCATTAACTAATTTGTAGTTTTTTTCATTGATGAAGCACTATACTGAAAATATCATATCTAACTAAAGAGAAGTAAAATCTGTAGCATAAGACCAGGCCATGGGGTTGGAGATCCTCAGACCTATTAACAAATATGACAGATATATGGTAACATTTTATCATATATACATGTACAATAAACCATACCAGCTAGCCACAATATTGTGGCTAGCTGTGTCTAGTGGCTAACGCGACGGGCTGGAGTTTTGAGACTCTATGACCGCGGGTTCAATCCCGGCCGGGGGTATGGTTTGTTTGCAATCGTGTCATTACGATTTCTTGAGTCATGTACAATAAAATTCTTTGCATTAACTAACATATTTATTTATTATTTATTATCACACTGGCCGATTCCCACCAAGGCAGGGTGGCCCGAAAAAGAAAAACTTTCACCATCATTCACTCCATCACTGTTTTGCCAGAAGGGTGCTTTACACTACAGTTTTTAAACTGCAACATTAACACCCTGGTTGGTAGACAGCAACCACCCAGGGAAGTACTACCGTCCTGCCAGATGACTGTGAAACAAAAACCTGTAACTGTTTTGCATGATGGTAGGATTGCTGGTTTCTTTTTCTGTCTCATAAACACGCTAAGATAACAGGGATATCTTGCTACTCCTACTTACACTTTGGTCACACTTCACAGACACGCACATGCATATATATATATACATACATCTAGGTTTTTCTCCTTTTTCTAAATAGCTCTTGTTCTTTTTTTTATTTCTTCTATTGTCCATGGGGAAGTGGAAAAGAATCTTTCCTCCGTAAGCCATGCGTGTCGTATGAGGCGACTAAAATGCCGGGAGCAATGGGCTAGTAACCCCTTCTCCTGTATACATTTACTAAAAAAGAGAAGAAGAAAAACTTTATAACATATTGAAACTTCCAAAACTGTCAGCCCCAACAATGCCCACAAGGTGCCAGAACACAATGTAACCTACAAAACAGATTATGCCACAAAAAGGATCATCACATACAGTGTCAAGCCCATCACTTAAGTAATCTTTACACAAATACCTAAATACTGCAAACTGTAAGTGCCCCTTTACTACCACAGTATATTACAACTGCAGATTTTCCCTTTATCACAATATCCTAAAAAATTAAAGCATTGTATGCTAATTATTGCATATACAGTACTAGCACTGCCCTCTTGATTAAACTTTAATCAAGAGGTATGCAAGTAATATTAGAGCATACCAATACTTATAAGATACGTCCTCAATACATACATACCCCCTCCTACCAGTGCAATATCTGTAGAATACCATCTGTTAATAGTCTATGGTCAATCTACTCAGATCTGGGCATAAAACACCAGCTTTGAACATCATAAGTTCACCAAGTTGTTTTATGATTTATTTACTAATAATTTATTTACTAATGATAATTATTATTGGCATTCAACAAAAAAATAATATAAACAATTATTTAAAAAGTGACTGGCAAGTTTACATGCAACAGTTGAAAATCAGCTCTTTGTCATACAGTGGACCCCCACATAGCGAACGCCTTGCATAGCGAACAATCCGCATAGCGAACGCTTTGTTCGCTAAAATTTTGCCCCGCATAGTGGACAAAAACCGCTCAGCGACCTTCGTTCCGAGACCGCGTCAAT